AGCAGACCAAACCAGTGAGGAATTCCGCCATGTCAATTATGTGGAAGCGCACATGGGGGTGTAAAAGTTTACCGTATAACACCGAATACTCTCCCGTACCATTCCATCAGTCACCGGAATCATAACTGACAATGAAGACAAATGAGCATGTTAGAACAGATTGTTCTGTTAGGATAGACGAGGCCAAAGTGAAAACAAAACAGTTTAATACATTTTTTAAAAATTGGTTGGTGTTGTGGAATAAATAAATAAATAAATAAATAAATGTTTTTTTATTTATATGCGAACTGTAACTTCAATAATAATAATAATAATAAATGTTATTATTTAAATATACAAACATACAATTGATGTAAAACTCATCATTGGTTTAAAACTCACATGCTTTGTCCACAAACTTATTAAGTTCCTGTTTGTACGTTCCACGTCCTCAAACATGATACACAGGATTTTGTTTAGGACTAAGATATTTCATAAATTGTCATTACCGTACAGTGTTAAATCTAATATTTATTGTACTGTTATAGCCTACATCGAAATGCATGATATTCCAAACTCATAATTCAAAGCGACTTTTCCTGATTTGTGGGCCAAATTAAACTTGTTATAACTCGTTATAATAATGTGATTGACATTAACAGTACATACGAGTGAAAATCTACATTTCTGGCTTTAGTTGAAATGCTAGCCTATTTAATTAGGTTTTTTTAAGCTTCATATATTTCTATGGAAGTATGGTAATCAGTGTGAAAAGAATAGGTGGCCATATTGTAAAAGAGAAACTACATCGCCACTTAGTGGTCATTAGCATTACTACAGTAATCAGATCAGATCTCATATTTCAGAGATTTGTTCACTGACAGGGATTAAACCATGCTTTATCAGGACATTAACCATGAAGCATACATTATCACACCAGGACCATTTTAAAACGCGCAGAATTATCAAGATGAATAATGTTAGTTTTAGGCTACATAACTCTATAACAAGAATTGTAGTAGTAGTAGTAGTAGTAGTAATAGCAGTTGTAGTAAAATCAGTAAAATAGTATAACATGTAGTGCTTTCACTGTTGGGCTGACAGATGTCTGATATACAATACATTCCAATGTGACGTATGTAAACAACTGTTATATGACAGAACGTGAGGAGCTTTTCAAAATAAAAGTCACCATCTACTAGCAGAATACAGTGCAGAAAAAAAAATAAAATCAAGGTCAGATGTCGTTTACTTAAACACTTGCGTGCTTTTCTATATATTCAAAAAGCAAGAGTAGTAAATAAACGCGAACCATCAACAAATAATAGCATATATCAACTTCACAAAATTACAAACGATGGCTTTAGAGTTCTCATACCTGAGGACTTTTAATGTAAAATTTGCAGTGATTTCAAAACCACTGCTCTCTGGGGTCAGATGAGGTATTACAACATCATACAGTCAGTCACTATGTCAGCTCTGAGACCGGTATAGTTTCATGAGTTTCTTGTGTTCTTTTAACTGGAACTATAATTATGATGCGGTCCATTTTGATCGTGGCGATTTTACTGTCAATAGCAGCTGCTTATTATATTTGTCTGCCTCTGCCCAGCACTATATCAGAGCCATGGAAACTCATGTTTATGGATTCCATATTGCGTGGTGTAATGCATGTGGTAAGCTTCGCATTTGTTTCCGTTATATAGTATATAGGCTACATTATACAAATATGCATAATTGTCATTTAAATGTTGATACAATATTTAAACATAAATAAAAATGGGTGACATATGCCTGATCAAAGTTTAAACCCTTATACGTGTTATTTTCTAGGAATGAACAAAAATGAACGTCATAACTTAATTAAGAAAACAAAATAAATTAAAAAACAAAAAACACTAACATTCTGTATATGTTTTTTTTTAACAATAACTTTTGGAAAGGAAAAAGAAAGAAAAGAACATTTGCTTATTTGTTTTTTCACCATATTTTTTATAACAATCTATAAACTATATATTTTCTAACAAAAAATAAAAAGCTACAATTAAAAATGGTCTCATTTGTCTCAAAAAATGTATTATTTGTCAAATTTGCTTATTTGTCTTTTCTCCATATTTTTACTAACAATATATAACATATATTTTCTAACAACAAAAAGCTACAATTAAGAAGTTGTCTAATTTGTCTAAAAAAATTAAATAAAAAATATTTGATCATTTGTTATTTCGCTGTTTTATTTTTACTTAAATTTATTGAATATAATTTCAAAAGAGTTACTACGTTTTTGACATTTCTATAAATGTTGTATTATTTTAATTGTTGACCTCTAAATGCTCAAATCACCAAACATTTTATGTGTTTAAATTTACCATATATGCTTGGTTAATCTTGTTAAATAAAAAATCTAATAGCTCTCAATAATACAAATTAAAGATGTGGAATTTTAGCCTGTAATGCTTAAAAAACAAACATTCCTTTTGTCCCTTCAGAATAAAATAAATTTTCTTAAAGAGATTTGCTGACCTTTAGAGAGTGTTTAACAATCCCGCTCTCTGATCCCTCTAACTTGTAGTCTTTTTTTTCCATAGAGCTTTTTAGCTCACGATCTTGGACTGAGCCGACCTTTTGATATTGCAAAGTATGCTGCATCATGGGATGAAATAAAGGGTCCACAGTCCAGCCCAGCAATCCGGGTCACAGAGACGTCATTTGAAGGAGTGCAGGCACAAGTGTTTGAGTCCACAGCAGCAGACCAAGAGCCACATTTGAAAAGAGGTGTGGTCTATTTCCATGGAGGTGGATGGACACTTGGCAGTGGAAGTAAGTGAAAATGCATGTGATTTCATATAAATAAACTTTTTTTCTGTTTTGGATATTATACACACAAAGAGTGAGGAAAAAAATATTTTATGTTTTAACTTTTGTTCCTTTTTTATTTAAAGAGATGCAAACGTATTACCTTCGGTGCTGGTCTATGGCTGAAGAGTTGAATGCAGTTGTAATATCAATTGAGTAAGCAATTCTCTACTGTATAATTTTATTGCTACATCCATTTAGAGCTTTAATTACATTAATTACCAGCTGTCATTTAACATATAATTTGTATGTTCAGGTACAGGCTGGCCCCGGAGGCACGTTTCCCAGATCAGTATAACGAAGCCGTTCAGGCCTCCAAACACATCCTGACAGCCGAGGTGTTGAGTCAGTACTCCATAGACCCGAAACGAGTGGCTGTGTCAGGTGACAGCGCCGGTGCCAATCTGGCCGCTGCTGTGGCGCAACAGGTGTGATAAATAACTGCAAATCAATTTCACTATATTTGCTGAATGATGTCAAATACTGTCAAATTATGTTTCCTACTTATTTTGAGGTGCTGATTACAAAAATAGTGCCTGTTTTGGTCTAGCACGTCACACTTTCTTACACAATATGATTTACTTCATAGCATTTTTTGTTTCAACAGCCATTTGGAAGGTGAAGATTCCAAAATCACCAGAAAAACTGGCACAAAGACATGATTCCTAACTATCTGTTCAATTCTCAGCTGATTTAATTCTGATTCAATTCTGATCTTAATTCGGATTCCAAGGTAGGAATTATGGCCAGTGACAGAAGAAAATGCAACGATGACTGTGTAGAAAATTTACTACATCCAAACAGCGACAGAAAATTACAGATTTTGTGGGGGGAAAAGTACAGGTGCATCTCAATAAATTAGAATGTTGTGGAAAAGTTCATTTATTTCAGTAATTCAACTCAAATTGTGAAACTCGTGTATTAAATAAATTCAATGCACACAGACTGAAGTAGTTTAAGTCTTTGGTTCTTTTAATTGTGATGATTTTGGCTCACATTTAACAAAAACCCACCAATTCACTATCTCAACAAACTAGAAGATGGTGACATGCCATTCAGCTAATCAACTCAAAACACCTGCAAAAGTTTCCTGAGCCTTCAAAATGGTCTCTCAGTTTGGCTCACTAGGCTACACAATCATGGGGAAGACTGCTGATCTGACAGCTGTCCAGAAGACAATCATTGACACCCTCCACAAGGAGGGTAAGCCACAAACATTCATTGCCAAAGAAGCTGGCTGTTCACAGAGTGCTGTATCCAAGCATGTTAACAGAAAGTTGAGTGGAAGGAAAAAGTGTGGAAGAAAAAGATGCACAACCAACCGAGAGAACCGCAGCCTTATGAGGATTGTCAAGCAAAATCGATTCAAGAATTTGAGTGAACTTCACAAGGAATGGACTCAGGCTGGGGTCAAGGCATCAAGAGCCACCACACACAGACATGTCAAGGAATTTGGCTACAGTTGCCGTATTCCTCTTGTTAAGCCACTCCTGAACCACAGACAACATCAGAGGCGTCTTACCTGGGCTAAGGAGAAGAAGAACTGGACTGTTGCCCAGTGGTCCAAAGTCCTCTTTTCAGATGAGAGCAAGTTTTGTATTTCATTTGGAAACCAAGGTCCTAGAGTCTGGAGGAAGGGTGGAGAAGCTCATAGCCCAAGTTGCTTGAAGTCCAGTGTTAAGTTTCCACAGTCTGTGATGATTTGGGGTGCAATGCCATCTGCTGGTGTTGGTCCATTGTGTTTTTTGAAAACCAACGTCACTGCACCCGTTTACCAAGAAATTTTGGAGCACTTCATGCTTCCTTCTGCTGACCAGCTTTTTGAAAATGATGATTTCCTTTTCCAGCAGGATTTGGCACCTGCCCACACTGCCAAAAGCACCAAAAGTTGGTTAAATGACCATGGTGTTGCTGTGCTTGACTGGCCAGCAAACTCACCAGACCTGAACCCCAGAGAGAATCTATGGGGTATTGTCAAGAGGAAAATGAGAAACAAGAGACCAAAAAATGCAGATGAGCTGAAGGCCACTGTCAAAGAAACCTGGGCTTCCATACCACCCCAGCAGTGCCACAAACTGATCACCTCCATGCCACGCCGAACTGAGGCAGTAATTAAAGCAAAAGGAGCCCCTACCAAGTATTGAGTACATGTACAGTAAATGAACACACTTTCCAGAAGGCCAACAATTCACTAAAAATGTTTTTTTATTGGTCTTATGAAGTATTCTAATTTGTTGAGATAGTGAATTGGTGGGTTTTTGTTAAATATGAGCCAAAATCATCACAATTAAAAGAACCAAAGACTTAAACTACTTCAGTCTGTGTGCACTGAATTTATTTAATACACGAGTTTCACAATTTGAGTTGAATTACTAAAATAAATGAACTTTTCCACGACATTCTAATTTATTGAGATGCACCTGAACAAGTTTTAGGCTACATAACTCTATAACAAGAATTGTAGTAGTAGTAGTAGTAGTAGTAATAGCAGTTGTAGTAAAATCAGTAAAATAGTATAACATGTAGTGCTTTCACTGTTGGGCTGACAGATGTCTGATATACAATACATTCCAATGTGACGTATGTAAACAACTGTTATATGACAGAACGTGAGGAGCTTTTCAAAATAAAAGTCACCATCTACTAGCAGAATACAGTGCAGAAAAAAAAATAAAATCAAGGTCAGATGTCGTTTACTTAAACACTTGCGTGCTTTTCTATATATTCAAAAAGCAAGAGTAGTAAATAAACGCGAACCATCAACAAATAATAGCATATATCAACTTCACAAAATTACAAACGATGGCTTTAGAGTTCTCATACCTGAGGACTTTTAATGTAAAATTTGCAGTGATTTCAAAACCACTGCTCTCTGGGGTCAGATGAGGTATTACAACATCATACAGTCAGTCACTATGTCAGCTCTGAGACCGGTATAGTTTCATGAGTTTCTTGTGTTCTTTTAACTGGAACTATAATTATGATGCGGTCCATTTTGATCGTGGCGATTTTACTGTCAATAGCAGCTGCTTATTATATTTGTCTGCCTCTGCCCAGCACTATATCAGAGCCATGGAAACTCATGTTTATGGATTCCATATTGCGTGGTGTAATGCATGTGGTAAGCTTCGCATTTGTTTCCGTTATATAGTATATAGGCTACATTATACAAATATGCATAATTGTCATTTAAATGTTGATACAATATTTAAACATAAATAAAAATGGGTGACATATGCCTGATCAAAGTTTAAACCCTTATACGTGTTATTTTCTAGGAATGAACAAAAATGAACGTCATAACTTAATTAAGAAAACAAAATAAATTAAAAAACAAAAAACACTAACATTCTGTATATGTTTTTTTTTAACAATAACTTTTGGAAAGGAAAAAGAAAGAAAAGAACATTTGCTTATTTGTTTTTTCACCATATTTTTTATAACAATCTATAAACTATATATTTTCTAACAAAAAATAAAAAGCTACAATTAAAAATGGTCTCATTTGTCTCAAAAAATGTATTATTTGTCAAATTTGCTTATTTGTCTTTTCACCATATTTTTACTAACAATATATAACATATATATTTTCTAACAACAAAAAGCTACAATTAAGAAGTTGTCTAATTTGTCTAAAAAAATTAAATAAAAAATATTTGATCATTTGTTATTTCGCTGTTTTATTTTTACTTAAATTTATTGAATATAATTTCAAAAGAGTTACTACGTTTTTGACATTTCTATAAATGTTGTATTATTTTAATTGTTGACCTCTAAATGCTCAAATCACCAAACATTTTATGTGTTTAAATTTACCATATATGCTTGGTTAATCTTGTTAAATAAAAAATCTAATAGCTCTCAATAATACAAATTAAAGATGTGGAATTTTAGCCTGTAATGCTTAAAAAACAAACATTCCTTATGTCCCTTCAGAATAAAATAAATTTTCTTAAAGAGATTTGCTGACCTTTAGAGAGTGTTTAACAATCCCGCTCTCTGATCCCTCTAACTTGTAGTCTTTTTTTTCCATAGAGCTTTTTAGCTCACGATCTTGGACTGAGCCGACCTTTTGATATTGCAAAGTATGCTGCATCATGGGATGAAATAAAGGGTCCACAGTCCAGCCCAGCAATCCGGGTCACAGAGACGTCATTTGAAGGAGTGCAGGCACAAGTGTTTGAGTCCACAGCAGCAGACCAAGAGCCACATTTGAAAAGAGGTGTGGTCTATTTCCATGGAGGTGGATGGACACTTGGCAGTGGAAGTAAGTGAAAATGCATGTGATTTCATATAAATAAACTTTTTTTCTGTTTTGGATATTATACACACAAAGAGTGAGGAAAAAAATATTTTATGTTTTAACTTTTGTTCCTTTTTTATTTAAAGAGATGCAAACGTATTACCTTCGGTGCTGGTCTATGGCTGAAGAGTTGAATGCAGTTGTAATATCAATTGAGTAAGCAATTCTCTACTGTATAATTTTATTGCTACATCCATTTAGAGCTTTAATTACATTAATTACCAGCTGTCATTTAACATATAATTTGTATGTTCAGGTACAGGCTGGCCCCGGAGGCACGTTTCCCAGATCAGTATAACGAAGCCGTTCAGGCCTCCAAACACATCCTGACAGCCGAGGTGTTGAGTCGGTACTCCATAGACCCGAAACGAGTGGCTGTGTCAGGTGACAGCGCCGGTGCCAATCTGGCCGCTGCTGTGGCGCAACAGGTGTGAAAACTTTTTTTCTGTTTTGGATATTATACACACAAGGAGTGAGGAAAAAAATATTTTATGTTTTAACTTTTGTTTCTTTAAAGAGATGCAAACGTATTACCTTCAGTGCTGGTCTATGGCTGAAGAGTTGAATGCAGTTGTAATATCAATTGAGTAAGCAATTCTCTACTGTATAATTTTATTGCTACATCCATTTAGAGCTTTAATTACATTAATTACCAGCTGTCATTTAACATATAATTTGTATGTTCAGGTACAGGCTGGCCCCGGAGGCACGTTTCCCAGATCAGTATAACGAAGCCGTTCAGGCCTCCAAACACATCCTGACAGCCGAGGTGTTGAGTCGGTACTCCATAGACCCGAAACGAGTGGCTGTGTCAGGTGACAGCGCCGGTGCCAATCTGGCCGCTGCTGTGGCGCAACAGGTGTGATAAATAACTGCAAATCAATTTCACTATATTTGCTGAATGATGTCAAATACTGTCAAATTATGTTTCCTACTTATTTTGAGGTGCTGATTACAAAAATAGTGCCTGTTTTGGTCTAGCACGTCACACTTTCTTACACAATATGATTTACTTCATAGCATTTTTTGTTTCAACAGCCATTTGGAAGGTGAAGATTCCAAAATCACCAGAAAAACTGGCACAAAGACATGATTCCTAACTATCTGTTCAATTCTCAGCTGATTTAATTCTGATTCAATTCTGATCTTAATTCGGATTCCAAGGTAGGAATTATGGCCAGTGACAGAAGAAAATGCAACGATGACTGTGTAGAAAATTTACTACATCCAAACAGCGACAGAAAATTACAGATTTTGTGGGGGGAAAAGTACAGGTGCATCTCAATAAATTAGAATGTTGTGGAAAAGTTCATTTATTTCAGTAATTCAACTCAAATTGTGAAACTCGTGTATTAAATAAATTCAATGCACACAGACTGAAGTAGTTTAAGTCTTTGGTTCTTTTAATTGTGATGATTTTGGCTCACATTTAACAAAAACGTAAGTGTAGTGTTATAGTATATATAATTTTCAGTTTTATTTTGCAAAAAAAAAAAGTGATGATATTTTATCTTAGGCGTCATCAAATTAGGTAATATTAGGCCTTTTTTGTAAATCAGCAGAGTTTTTTTTCAAGGTGCAGGCTGTATTTTCATTACTAAGGAAAAATAAAATAAAACACTTTTTATCACATTTTTTGTCTCTCTTCTCACAGATGGCTTTGGACAATAGTGCTCCTATTAAGTTCAAAGTTCAGGCCCTTCTCTACCCTGCGCTTCAGGCCTTGGACTTCAACACCCCCTCGTACCAGCAGAACGGCCACATTCCCATCCTGCACCGTCCGCTCATGGCTCGCTTCTGGCTGGAGTACCTAAACGGGGATCCAAGACTTGTTACGTCTTTGCTGGCAAACAACCACTCAACTCCAACTCCAAGCCAGGAGATAGCAGCGGCCAAAGCCAAGACTGACTGGACCAAGCTTCTTCCGGTGGCCTTCCAGAAGAGCTATAAACCTGTGTTTCCGCTTCACGGCGACCCAAAGCTGCTGGAGAAGCTGCCAGGCCTGCTGGATGTGAGAGCGGCGCCTCTACTAGCTGAAACAAAAGTGCTGAAGGCCGTGCCGCCCGCTTACATCATGACCTGTGAGCATGACGTGCTGAGAGACGACGGACTCATGTACGCCACGCGACTGGAGGAGGCCGGAGTGGACGTCACTGTTGATCACTTTGAAGATGGTTTCCATGGATGCCTCAGTTTTGCTTTTGGACCCTTTCGGTTTTCTGTAGGGTTTCGAAGTTTTAGGAGCTACACCCGCTGGTTGAAGGAGAACCTCTAGCAGAGCCAAATATATTTTGATTTCAAACATTCACTAATGGTTTTTATACCTAAAATACTGTGCAACATGTCAATGCAATGGATTATGAATGGGGAGAAAAGCACACTGATCAGGCCCAAAGCTACTGAAACTATGTTTCAGTAACAATACACAATTGTTTTAGTAGCAGTGGATTTAAAGTGCATGTAATGCCACATAGTGCAGGATAATCCAGATTATACAAAGGGGTTTTCTGAATGTGAACCCATATCTATTAATCCTTAAGTGTCATGGAAATTATTTTATGTTGTTAATATTTTATGTGATTAAGATTATAAAAATCTGCAGAGTGTGACCAAAACAAATTGACAATTTCTGTTAAAAAATATAAAATATTTGTAAAAAAAAATGAAAAATTACCAGTTAGAATGTAATTTTTCTCTTAATCTGCAGAGAGTGACCAAAAATAGACAATGTCTATTGAAAAAAAAATATATAGTATTAAGAATGACCAGTTAGACAGTAATTGTTCTATAAATATATAAATATACAAATACATATATATACAGTATATATAAATAACAAGTGTCAAAGCAAGCCCATACAAAAAAAAAATTAAACAAGTAAAAAACAAGTAAAACAAGACACTAGTTTTCACGACGCAGTAGTTCTCATATTTCTCAGTTAATGAGCAGCTGGGAAGACAAGACAGTTCATGTCTTTCACACTCAAGACTTGTAGCGGTATACATTTTTATTTATGCGCGCACACACAAGCATGCAATTGTGCTCTCTGCCCTAGTTTTGTGCAGCTGCATCTAGGCATGACGTCTGCACAGATGCGCATCGCCAGGCCTCAAGGAGTAGACTAATTTCTTACTGAGTGATACATTCTGAATGCATGCATTTATTTCCTTGGGAAATAAACCATTACTGTACCTCTGATTTTCAGAGCAGAATCTGTGAAACAGCATATGGGCAAGTAAATGTAAATGTAATATAAATGGATTTTAATAATCATACAATTTATTCAACATACAAGTGTGTATTTGAAACAGGTTTACCATAAAAATAATGTGCTTTGTGCACAAAATGAGTTCAGTTCCACATCCTCAGGCCATACTGTACCTTTGTTTGGGACTGTTTATGCTGTCAGTACATTTCATATTTACACACTATAATGTGCTTTGTGCACAAAATGAGTTCAGTTCCACATCCTCAGGCCATACTGTACCTTAGTTTGGGACTGTTTATGCTGTCAGTACATTTCATATTTACACACTTCCATCAAATTCCACTGTATCATCAACATGGATGTAAAATGTGTTAAATGTAATATTTGTTGTTATATTATATATGTATGATATTCCAAAATCATCAATCATGAAAATGAAGAGACGAATCAGAAGTCTTGTCTACTTGTTCATTTTTTAGAAGTATAAAATAGCGTGACTGAAATTAATAATGAAAACATAAATACTGTATATTCATTCATAGTTGATCGTGCAAACAGATATCTGACGTATATTCGATGTGAAGATACCTGTTTTTATACAGTCTATGGAAGATACACATGCAACCAACAGAGCATGAAGACCATTTCAAAATAAAAGTCACTGTCTCTATGCCGAATCCAGTAGAGGAAAAAAATAGTACAACTTTTAACATTACCGTGTCGTTTATTAAAGATTACAATTACAAATTTAAAGTTTATTTAAATGTTACGTTTTTGTGTTATTTAACAACATTAAAATCCTTTACTAGTAGTTATGTGCACTTAACTGATCTCAAAAAAGTGGAGGCAATAAATGTAAAGCCATTGACAGTTAAAATCACTAATAAAAACTGCAGTCAAAGGTAAACAATCACTTAGGACGGACCAAAGGACTTTTAACATGAAATAACTGCTGTGATTTCATAAATTCAATGTAACGATGTGAAATGAAATCAGGTGAGGTGTCATACATGCAGTCACTATATGAACACTGACGTTTGTGTTGCGGTTCATTTTAATGCTCCTTTAACATAATTAATAATGCGGCCCATTTTGATCGGGACGGTTTTACTCTCAATAGCAGCCGCTTATTATATGTATCTGCCTCTGCCTAACACTATATCAGAGCCATGGAAACTCATGTTTTCGGATGCATTGATACGTGGCATGATGAAGTTGGTAAGATTTTTGTATTAAAATACTTATATAAAAATGCTATTACTTTAGCATATAGAATTCCACTGAAGTATCACGATTTATGGAGTAAGAGATCTGCTGACAGAAACACAACTTATTTGTTTTTCTCTCAAGAGTTTTTTAGCTCATGATCTTGGACTGACTTCACCATTTGGGTTGGCAAAATACTATTCGGCTTGGGCGGATGCAAAAAGTATCGAATCCAGCCCAAGCGTACGAGCCACAGAAGCGTCTTTTGGAGGAGTGGAAGCACTAGTGTTTGAGTCAACTGCTGCAGGGCAGGAGCAGAGTCTTAAAAGAGGCGTGGTCTATTTCCATGGAGGAGGATGGACACTCGGCAGTACAAGTACATGATAGTTTATTGTTTTATATATTCAATTGCATATGATTTCATGCAAATGAAGGATTTTGTTGAATGCATTAAGTTGTAGACATTGGTCGAGAGAAATAGATTTGCTCAGCAGTCTCGATGCGCCCTCACGTGGTCGAGAAAGGAAACACTTCTCAGATATTATTTAACCTTTTCGTCACACTTGTAGTGATATTATCTATGGTTTAACCTCTTCAATTGCTCTCTCTGTTTTTATAGAGATGGAACCATATTTCCTTCAGTGCATGACTATGGCTGAGGAGCTGAATTCAGTCGTAATATCTGTCGAGTAAGCAATTTCCTGGGTCTTGTGTAGGTCTTTGTATTATTCAAGGAGCTAATTACCTGATTTCTTTTGTATATCTTGCTTGAATTGTATGTTCAGGTACAGACTGGCACCAGATGCACGTTTTCCAGATCAGTATAATGATGTTTTTCAGGCCTCAAAACACATCCTGACAGCCGAGGTGTTGGGTCGGTACTCCATAGACCCGAAAAGAGTGGCTGTGTCAGGTGACAGCGCTGGAGGAAACCTGGCCGCCGCTGTGGCACAACAGGTATAAGAAATCCAAGCATCAAATTGTCATCATTACAAATAAAGGTTTCCCATTAAGGCAAGACATCACAGGTGAATAGCGTAAAGGCTGTAACTAATAAATATAAAAGTACTTCCCCAGTTGATTATTAAAAGTACATTAAGAGTTTTTTTTTTTAAATGTTATGCTTAAATATGCAAATGATGCATGATCTCATTAAATATGCACTCATTTGCATACATTTCCAGAACTGAAATCTGACCATTGCATAAAGCCAGGTTCAAAATTGTTTAATTTTGTTGACATTTCAGAGTTAGCCTATTTTTTTAAAAAGGTATTGTGGATATCTATTTGTATCAAGTGAATGGTATATGAACAAATCCCTCTGTAAAAACCTTCACAATATAAATAGGAATAAAACTGGTGTATGTAAGTGTGACTGAAATGGAGATTTCTGGCTCGGCTCAGGAGGGGGAAAAAATCATTTTGAGAAAAAAAGCCTTTTGTCTATTGCAATTGAAATCTACAGACGCGAATAGATAAACTATAAATAAAATAAACACTAAAATGTGTATTTTGGATGTTTTCTTTCCAAAAATCTGAAAGAAGACAGATTATGGAAGCAAAAAAGCCCAATATTTTAAGATGTTTATAGTGTCATACGCTTAATAATTTTACACTTCATCATATATGTTTATTATAATAATAATTACATATATATATATATATATAGGTTTACACTTTATTTTAAGGTGTCCTTGTTACACTGTAATTATACATACTGACTAATATTAAT